TTTATATATATACATACATATAATTATTTATTTATTTATTTATTATCCCAGCCAACAGCAAACATAAAATTCGCCACTTACAGGAGGGAACTTACTGTATTATATATACAGTATATATACATATGTATATGTCTGTACATACAATTATGTATATATACATATATAGATTATATACAAACACTATAGACCATTTTCAAGAAATTTGAATTAAAATTTCCGATAACCTGATAACTACCACTGGGGGATTTTCAGGGGGCTAGCATTTCCCTCTACGTAGTTACCATCATGGATTAAATAAACGATAAAACTAAGTTACTAACGAGCACAACTATTTAAAAAAAAACATGAAATGTTTATATTAAAAAACAATTCTGTCTTAAAAACTATTTCAAAGTTTACATGTACAGCAATTACAGTAATTAGCAAGATCGTATCTGTTTGCTACTGCTGCTATAGCAAAGGTCTAGCCGCGCGATCCGCTGCTCGGTACTCTATTTGAAACTAGCCAGCTGCTCAGGGTAGGCAGCTGGAAGTCCCCCCGTGAGTTGCGAGACGTTGGCGGCGCTGTTTCAAAATAAATCCAATAAAATGGTCTATAAAATGATTATAAACTTACAATTGGTCCAGGGCCACCATCTTGGCCAGGAGCGCCAATATCACCAGTATCACCCTATATAAATAAACAAATTAAAATTAATATCAAAGTAGAGGTAGGTTAAAAGCAATTTAATACAATGTGAACATACCTGAACTTAATAGGCAACAATAATTACTTTTATAGCTTTGTTTAAATTTTAAATACATTTTAATTTCTATGATTGAATCTACATATTCATTGCATAGTAAATGCCAAAAAAAATTAACTTATTGTATTGCCCAGGACATTTGGAAATCAGCATTAGTCAGTAACTTTTTTTTTCAAACTAAAGGCCTATATCTAGTTATTGCCAACCATCAGTCATCCAATACACATGATAAACACATGGCTAAAATTCATGGTTAAGGTATCAAATATATTTTTAAAACTTAAAAATAGCCTTTTGAAATATCATATGATACATTTTTTCGGACAAAAAGAACACCCTAGATATTTAAGATTTTGGGTTGGTCAGGCTTGGGCAATAATATTAAAACAAAGACTTACCTTTGGTCCTCGAGGACCATCAGAACCTCTAGATCCAGGTACACCAGGTGGACCCTATAAAATAAATCATGCAAATTAATATTAAACTACTGAATATTCATTACATTGTCTACTGAATATTCATTATTTTTTAACTACAGAATATTTATTACATTAATAATTATATAATAAACTGACAGATATAGTTACCTTAGAAAGTGCTTATTTAAAAAAAGAACAATATTTTTAATAGATTACATTTGTTTTTTTTCACAACACATGTATAGATAGTTTTCTTACCACATTCCCTCTTTGACCTGGTTTTCCTCTTTGTCCAATTGTTCCTGTTATACCCTGAAAAAATAAAGAGTATAATTGTGATCAATTACCAATATACTTGTCTTCACTGGCATCATTATTTGTATGATTATCTTCCCTACAAACCACTGCCATCACCAAACACTATTGTATCAATTACATCATTACTTGTATTGATGTCTTCCCTGGCTACAACATTGACAATGCCATCGTTCTATTTTTGAGAATGTTACCATGTCAGCATACATACCAGCAAGGACTCTTCGATCATCAACTCAACTCCTCCTAACTGAACATAATACTAAAAACAACTGGGAAAATAGATCATTTCTCGTTTCTGCTCCCAAAATCTGGAATTCTCTGCCCATACACATCAGGTCACCAGAAAATATCACTATTTTCTCTATGTTATAATCAAGTCCCAGACTAAAGAAACATCTGTTCGACCAGCACTTCTTCAATTAATTATTCTCTTTCTCGCGCTACTTTTCTACTCTCATATTTTTTCTGTCTTGCTTGGCTCTGGCACCATGAGCGCACCATCCTGATACCGGCTCCTTATAAATGTCCATTATTATTATCATTATTATTATTATTATCTCCAGACACTGTTTTTATCACTGGCATCATTTGTATTGATGTCTTCCCTGCCAACATCAATTACAATCCCATCACTCTATTTTTCAGAATGTTACCATGCCATCTTCAAACACTACTGTATCAATGACATCACTATTTACAGTATATTGATGTCTTCCCTGCCAACAACAATGACAATGCCATCACACTATTTTTGAGAATGTTACCATTACATCTCCAAACACTATTGTATCAATGACATCACTATTTGTATTGATGTCTTCCCTGCCAAGAGCAATGGAAATGCCATCACTCTATTTTTGTGAATGTTACCATGACATCTCCAGACAGTATTGTATCAGTGGCATCATCTGTAATGTCTTCCCTGCCAATAGCAATGGTAATGCTCTCTTAAATGATATTCTCTGCTTAATATACTTACTCTTTCTCCTCTATCTCCCTGTTCTCCCTTTTCACCTGGTCTACCAGGAGCACCCTGTCAAATATAAAAATAATCAGATCTTAAATTATACACAATAAAACATATCGACATATATTTAGAAAAGCTAGAACTGACTGATGATTTACGTACAAGTTTATTCATTATTTTTCACTATATATTCATACAAGTAGAAAATAGTGATTTACCTGCACACCAACACTACCTTGAGAACCTCGCTGTCCACTGGGTCCTTCTGATCCCTGCAATCAAAGATCAAACTTAAAAATACTAAATGAACAATCAGATAATAATCAAATGATACTCATGATGTTGGTAGTCTATGAGTGAGACTGTACCAGGATAATACATTGCTAATTACAATTATGGGAACAACGTATTGGTTTATACAGGTAAATATTCACAATATAGACTATCAATTTTAATTAAAACAGTATACAATACTCTATATTATGTATTGTAATATTGGATATATTACTGAAGTGTTATCCTGGTAAAATAAGTTATAAATAATGAAATAAAAATAAAATGTTTCAGCCATGTACTACTGATCAGTAAAAAACACAAATAAAATGAAAATTTCACTTGCAAAAAAATATAAATAGAATTTGGTAAGAATGTTGGTTGTCCAGAGCATTTGTTAAAAAAAGCCTGTTTCCATATATGCAACATATCCAACGGTGCTATTTATTATTCTTTATTTTGGTTAATTTTTCTTTTTGTGTGTCTATGTATGTTTCCAACTTTTGTTTGACTTTGTTGTTTGTTTGAAATACGGAAAAAAAAACCCCCCCAAAATCAAACATATACAACTTTATCCTGCTTTGAATCTTTTGAAATATACTGTCAGCTCTATCCAGTTGCTTTACATTTCGATGATGTACTCTGTCAATTCAAAGGTAATTTTTATATTTTGAAGCTGTTTATTCTGGTCTACATAAATCTCTGATCGCCAACTCACCTTTGGTCCTCTCAAACCTTGGTCTCCTGGAACACCTGGTTCTCCTGAGTCACCCTAAAACAAGATATGATTTAATACTAATTGTTTTATAAGATTTATAATAAATCAAATTTGATTAAGTTTGATAGCATATCAAAATATATATATTTTGCTTCATTCGATAATAATTATTTATATATGCCTATATAAAATAATTAAAATCTACTCCACGTACAAATATAATTGAAGTTAGGCGTCTAATTTGGTTTGGCCATATGACCAAATTGATAGGTCAAGCTCCAGCCAACCTTGAATTAGAAGAGATGGAATGGGAATTAAGAGAGGGAAAAATTTACGCATGGCAATTAACAAAGGAGGACTATGAGGTTGATGTAAAAGATATGATAATGATCCATGGGGCTTTGGCAAGATTTGTGACTGCAAATAAGCACCATTTGCTTCATTAAGCTAGTTCATACAATAATTATTATGGCACAGGAAGTAAAATAGTGAAGCTGAAAACTTACTTGTTGACCAGGCTCTCCAATTGGTCCTGGGGCACCAGGTGGGCCCTCCAATCCCTATAAAATAAAAAGATTTACATGTTACTTTAAAACAAAATCTTCGGATTTATCACACACATCAGGTGAATAAAATGTAAACATAATATATAAGGAAAAACCAAAGTAGGTCACATGATTAACACCTTTTAATGAATGGAATGTTTAGTAATATTCTACTTCTGTCTATCTCATATCATATAATTTTAATGATGATGTAACTAAAGTCAATAAAAACTGCATAATGGATGATTAGTTCTCATTACAGATAAATATGATCATTTATCTAATGTTAAAAAAAAAATGACATTCTGTACTTCTGGATCAATACAATACCACTAAAACAAAATTCAGTTTTTACATTGGACACTATGCCGTAAATGACAAGTAATGCTATTATATTTTTTTTTTATAAAAGTTGAAATGAAAAAAATAAAAAAACAAAAAACAAAAATTAATAAAAAATATATTCAATGAAAAATGAATATTTTGTACTCACAGATGAGCCTAGTTGTCCTTTCTGACCCTTTTGTCCTCTGACACCGGGTTCCCCCTTCTCACCATCCTCTCCAGGCGCTCCTATTGGTCCAATCGGTCCTGGAGCTCCCTATTTAGATACAACATCATTAACGTATAAGTAATACTGCAGTAATAAGATATTTAGTATTTGAAATACAGAATACTGCAGTATTAAGATATTTAGTATTTGAAATACAGAGGAAATGGAAGGCCACTTCCATGTATGCATATTAAAAAAAATTCTGAACCTTTATCTGTTTACAGTGCATATAATCATGTGTACTTTTAAATCTTCACATGATCATTTAGAGTGTTTACTAACTCTGCTTACAGTGACAAGGTTTCATTGACCAATTGATACATTTTCAATCTTTCATCAAAATAGCAGGTGCTTGAAAGTTGATGAATACAGAGCCTGTTAAGTTTCAATATACAGTAGGCCCAATTTAACCACAGTGTGGCAGATACAGATATATGTAGATTGATCGTCCTTTTTTTACTGACTCAACTGACAGTCAAAATAAAAACATTCTGACTACTCACTACATTCTCACTTCTTAAAACACTAATATTGCAAAATTATTACAAACCCTGCTTCCCGGTTGACCATCCCGTCCAACTAAACCTTGGATTCCATCAATTCCCTGTAAAAGAAGGAAAACAATGTTAATGAATTTCTGATATATTTTGTAGATCATTAGTAACAGCAAATTATGTTGTAATTATGCTTGTGGAAAATAAAAAACATCAACCAATGAGACACCGAAGAAAAAATAAATCAGGTCAACAATTACATTTAAGGGTCTTTTGCAGTAACTAACAGAGGAATGATATTGTATAATACAATTGTGTATTAGCAAGGAATCTTTTGAATGACAGTGGTCTATTCTCTATACTAAATTTTGATGTTAATTTCGTAATTTTGTTTTGTTGTTGTGGTCTTTGCCAAAATGTATAAAATTAAATAAAATAGTTTTCTTGTATTTATAAATAAATTATATATGTAAAGTAATTATTTCAAATACTAAGTTTAATTAAATTAAATTTTTATTTAAATGTTAAGTTGTATTAAATACATAATGTACGCAAATCAAATAATGAATTTAATATTTAAAAAGTTTTGGCTCAACACAGAAATAGAATAAAATAAAATAAAATGTTTTTTGGCCCTAATTTTGGGTTACTCACTCTTTATTGCACTTAGTGCGCGCCATACCTAATTTAATTGGCGTCCCATACTCGATTTCTTTCTTTTTTTTCGTATTTTTCCGTCTCTAAATTAACTTTTTTTGTTGGTGGCGCTGTCCAGAATGAGAAAAATAATAAAAAATAAGAGACTTGTGGCAAGTCTAGTATAAAAAGTACACTGCATTATAAAAAAAATTAATACTGTATATAAATTCATCCATAGTATAGTAATTGCAAGTAAATGTTTTTTCCTTTTTATTTTCAGCTGAATTAAATTATTTAATTATTGAAATTCTTTAGATGTAAGTATAGAAAGTACACTGCATTATAAAAAACAATTAATAATACTGTATATAAATTCACCCATAGTATAGTAATTGCAAGTACAATATTTCAAAGTCTAACTTACTGGTTCTCCCTTGGAACCCATTGGTCCTCCAGGTCCAACTTCACCTTGCGCACCCTATAAAAAAAAAAGAGTATATTTAATTTAAAGATTCTAAAAGTTCAAAATATATTTTGGGAAGGTAAAACCTACTTATGGTTTTTTTTGTAAGATTTTATAGGTCCTTGTTTTGACACAATAGTGTGTTTAAGTTAAGACATGGATAATACTGTTTTTCTTTTATTTTTTATTATAAAAAGAGTAAAATAACCTTTAAAAAAAGAGAAAGAATTCATTTGTAGACACGTTTACTTGCCATCTAGTAACCTCTTCAGTACTATACAATGGGAAAATGAACTTTGCCGGCCTCTGACTGTTATCACTGGGCCTCTGGCAGCTACAGCCTATGGTCCCCCACGTCTTATTTTGGTCACACTAACTCTGGTACAACAAAACCATGCACCTAGAAATGGCAAGTTCATTCCTATACCTAAAGGTACTATAAACATAGTACCTTTAGGACCTATGTCTATAATAGTACCTTTAGGTATAGGTACTATAAACATAGAGGTGACTATTGTACAATAATAACTTGCACACATACCTGGGGTCCAACAGAGCCTGAAAGCCCTTGAGGCCCTGCTACACCTGGGGATCCCTGAAATAAGAAAAAAAAAGCAACAGTCAAATTCAGTCATAAAATAAAAAATATATATATAAATACTGTATGATATTTATGATTTAAAAAAAAATTAACTTTTTACATCAGGAAAGTAGAAAAAATATATTTTATAATTGTAAAGCAGGTTTTATAATTGTGTAGCAGAAGAGTGGATTTTAGCTGTGTGAGAATAAATTCACAGATCTAATGAATGTTACGTCTTCTATAATAATTTTAGACTTACAGCTGGTCCTGGGGGTCCTGGTGGTCCACTTTCTCCTTTTTCTCCGCCGGGTCCCTGTAATAAACAAAAGAAGAAAAAAAATTTAAACATTAGCTTTAACGTTTGTTTTTAAAGTTAACATAGAAAACAAGTTGATAAAATATAAAAAACAAGTCAGATCATAATCTTATCATGAACTAATATAATCTGGCAGGTTAAATGATGACTCTAATAAAATACACCTGTTGTCCAAAAACACAGGTTTATGATGGACTTACCTGTAGTCCAGGTAGACCTCGTTCTCCAGTATAACCCCTGATTCCAGGTGGCCCTTGGTCGCCTACAGGTCCTGGGGGCCCAGCATTTCCCTAAAAGTGTAAAAATTGACATATTTGATCATCTTTAACAGATATCTTTAACAAATAAACAATACTTTTTACCACCAGAGCTTCGTAGAAAGGATCTGATCAAAAACAACGGTTGACCTACCCTGGGTCCATCTTTGCCATTCTCTCCTGGAATACCAATTTCTCCTTGTGGTCCAGGTGGGCCAGGGAATCCACGCTCTCCGCCAGGCCCGCGTTCACCAACAGCACCCTAAAACAATAATAGCAGTGATGGTTTACCATAATAATAATAATAAAATATTATTATTAATATTAATACATTTTCCCAATGCCAGGTTGTATCTCCATGTGTTCCGATGTATTTTATTTTGAAATAAACAATTTTCAATGTTTGATAAAATAAAAAAATATCAGGTGTGGATTTAGAAATTCGAAACAGAGGTGGCTCAAATCAGAAAGTCACTTCTACAGATGGACGATCCAACTGACCTCTGTCTGTCTATGGCACTTTTAGATGGCCGGTAATGGCACTCTCAGACTACAAACTTGAGTGTAATTTTCTTTTCTCCTATTTAAAAAAAAATTTCAAAATATTTAGGCCCCCACCCTCCATTTAATCTGCCTACAAAAATGGTAAAAGACTGATAAGTTGATTAGTTGTATACCTGTGGTCCAACAACACCAGGTTGTCCCTGTGATCCAGTTTCGCCTTCAATACCCTATGAAATAAAGTTCAAGGTTCATTTTTATTGTTATATACAGTAATGAATATAATAAAAAAATTAAATAGGTGACTTAACAGGTGAAAAACAACTAATGTAAACATGTACAATTTTTGCATATTCATTATAACTGACATCTTCATATTATATTAGTTAATTACCAACTAACAAACAAAAACTATTATTGATGAAGTAATTATTAACACATATTTAGGTACATAGGGTCTACGTTGTATTATTTTTAACAACTTACAGATTCACCACGTTGACCAGGCATTCCAGGTAGACCATCTTTACCAGAAGATCCCTTTAACAAAACATGAACATTCATTTATTTTAACAATGCATACCCCTGTATATGATATTTATGTCATCATAATTAAGACAATTTAATTTGAAAATAAAAAGTTCAAGTAGATTTTGTACAAATGTATTTAATGAAATTCTTTTACTATTTTTATTATTTTTAATACTTTACTGTTTTAATTGTTAATGCAATTTGTTAATATATTAATGCTCTAAAAATATATTTATACACACACCATATATGTTTGTAGTACATTGTGAAATAAAACAACAAAAATATAAATCCATAAATAAAATAATACAATTTACTCAGAAAAAGCACTTATGAGATGGAAGTAATCCCTGAATCTGCTCACAATATTGTATAACATGATGAGGAAATCCCTTAAATGTTTCCAAATTGATTTTTTCCTTAAAATCTTTGGTGAGGCAACTGCTTTCTATTTAGAAAACAAGTTTGCAAGAATTATGCAAATACAGTGTATGCCAAATGGTATAGGCAAGTCTGAGTAACTGTTACTTACCGGTGGTCCCTTAGCTCCTGGGAATCCTCGGAGACCGGGAGTACCGATCAAGCCCTATACAGACAAAAAGATAAAAAAATTATATTGCTATCCCACTCTTTCAATATAGGCCAACTATATTTTCAATTATTAAGAAATCATCATGCAAAAAAAGAAAAGAAATCATTAAATAACATGAACTTAGTACAGCCACACAAATCACAAAATGGATAAAAATCAAATAATAAATAAACTTATGCACACATTTCCATAATAATCATCTACTAAAGACGCAAAAAAAAGAAATTAAACAGCAAAAATGTAATATTAACAATATATTTGTAAAAATATTGTTCAAGTTTAATACCAAGTTACACAACAACTAAAACTAAATAACTTAACATGCATATGAAGATATAAATCATATAAAAAGAGACGAAAACAGGAAACGTATGAAATATTATGTGTAATAGCAATGTAATAAATCAGAAGAAGACATAGATGCAGGAAGAGGGTACACAGTATAAAGGTGATGACAATATCTTGAGATGGGTTGAGATAATAGAAAGTGACACTGAAAAGAAACAATGCATGAACAACTGGCAACAACGTAGACGGAAACGGGACGAAAGTTCTATACTCGCTTGATCAGTAAAACCTGGATTTGATTTGCAAAACTTAAATTTTCTCTTTTACAGGACGTGTTGTGGACAAAGTACATATGCTGCTTATAGTGGAATCAGAAAAAACACTGTACTCAGAAAATTTACAACATTTAATTTTTAATTTAATGATAAAATACATATGAGTTTCTATTGTCTGCTGGTTACATAATCTTTACTACAAAAATCCTTATATTACACTAGCTAATTTAAAGGTAAGGGTAATAATTTTTGCAAAGTGTATTAAAGCCAGGCTCCAGAGGGAAAACAATTTTTGCTATGTTGTACAACCACCCTTTTCCCACCTTTTCACCCCAGTTTTTAAATATTAAAAATCTGTATCTCATTAACCACTTCTGAGTTTTTCGTCAAATACGCTTTTTGTTTCATAAAAACAAAAGAAAAATCAGTTTTTTCCTCTGAAGACAGGCTTTAAAGGAAAAGCATTATCTGTCTGTAAATTAGTGAGGCAAATATTTCCTTGTTCTTAATTTTCAATTATTATTATTAACAATTCAAATATTGGCTTTCAAGGATTGCTCCAGAACTATTAAACACACCCTGAACAGAAACCAAGACCACACCGTGATTCTCAACATAGTTAACTCATGGCACAAAGCCGAGCCATGCAGGTCAACCCAGTCAACAACGACAACGACTGATGGGGCTATTCCTACTATATAACTGTTGTTTCTACAACGAAAAGAACACTTGAGAATTTGAACTAACGAGTTCATGAAACTTCGGTAAGTTTTAAACTTTATTTACTTGATTCAGTGTAAAAGAAAACTATATTTTTGAGTGCTTTTTTATCGAACCAAACCATTTTTTTGAGCATTTGGATTGTAGTTTTCAAGTATATTAGCTTAACACAAATGGTTTAATAGAAACAGCTAAATCAAATCATTACTATGTATATGGATTGGAATACTGCAGCCAAATATTCATTAAATATATTTTGGTGTAAACCATCTTTAAATTGTTGCAGAGTGCAGCTTTTTAGGGTGAAATATCTATAAAATAAATTATTTTATGTACTTGTGATAGTCTCCAGGTATAAATGTGAAGGGGTTTGTTAAGAAAATCTATCAAAAAATGTAAAAGTAATACACAAAATGAAAAAAATATAAATAAAATATAGAAGAGTAACCGTCAATGAAAACCCTGCAGCAGATTAAGGAAATAAAAACATAAAAAATGTTAAATATTTTTAAAATAATTTGTTATATAGTACTTTAATATAAGTTTGATGATTAACTATATTATAAAATCTCAAATTAGTATTAATTTTATAATCAGGTTTGTAATAATGTAATCTAGAATTTTATAGATTAAAAAATAATCTATGTAGGCCAGTTTATAAAAATGTTTATTTTTTCTTTTTAACATGTTTTTAAAAAGTTTAGATTAAGGAAATAAAAACATAAAAAATGTTAAATATTTTAAAAATAATTTGTTATATAGTACTTTAATATAAGTTTGATGATTAACTATATTATAAAATCACAAATTAGTATTAATTTTATAATCAGGTTTGTAATAATGTAATCTAGAATTTTATAGATTAAAAAATAATTTACGTAGGCCAGTTTATAAAAATGTTTAGTTTTTCTTTTTAACATGTTTTTAAAAAGTTATCAAATCATCTTCAAAACACATTATACTTACTCTCTCTCCTCTGCTACCTGGTGGTCCCTCTGCCCCTTCAGCCCCCTGCAGAAACAGAAGGTTTTATTTATTTTTTTTGAATGCATAATATACTTTATTTAATCATCATTATTATAATCTCTGATAATGCACCAAATGGCTACTCTAGAATGACTTAATTCTTTTGTTTAAGTTGGGCGAGATTGATTATAAGCCAACTACTGGTTTAAAGTTGTTTATAATCTACTTTTAATGGATCATTAATGCCTTCAATTGACAATAATATCTTAATGATAGTAAATATCAATTACAACATAATGAATGGAAATTTTAATTAATTAATAAAATTAATGTATGTACTTGGTTATCATTATCATCAAAATATACAGTAAATTCACTTTAAATTAAAAGAAAATTACAGTATATGTACAACAAAATACAGACTAGGGATATATAATATATTTATGTAATATCTTTGACTATTATTATCTATTTAATGGAACCACCAATAATACAAGACCCCCTTGCATCCAGGAAAGCATTGTTTGCAAAGTCCTTGAATTTGGGTAAATTATGAGAAAAAATGCTGAGGTCTTCTCACAAGGGATTACATTTCAATGTGAAAGGAACCTGTCAGAGTAAATTTCCTGTTTTCTGCATTCTGTGTCCTCAACTCAGATATTATGTTTTACACCTGAAAGGAAGCATGTGATAAAGTACAATAGGCTTCAAGAGATCAAAGATAATGTTCATTGTTCTTCATTCTTACCTTAGGTCCAACTGATCCGGTCTGTCCTCTTGGGCCACGAGCCCCTCGTAAACCTCTTGGACCACGCTCACCCATGTCTCCTAAAGTACCTGGACTACCCTATTATAAATCACATGATAGACAAAGGTGTTATGTTATTATAAAAAAAAAAACAACAAATATTTCATTTATTAATTTTTGAATAAAATCCAGAACATACATTATAAGCATTTATAAAAGGAAATTAACAACAAACTGGCATACTTTGTCATTATTCCAGTCAATAACATTATTTTATAAACTTATTCTGAACCATGAAGCTACATTACATATTATCCAGTAATAATAATAATTAAGCAGCTATGCCTGCTAATTGGACCTGGTCTGTAATCTCCTTACCCGTGATCCTTTGATGCCTGATCTACCAGTTCTGCCCGATTGTCCAACATCTCCCTTTTCTCCATTTGGTCCAGGATAACCTGGCAAACCAGGTTGCCCTCTTGCTCCCTATAAAAACACATATTTACGATCTGTCTCTTATACACATCTAAACCTGGATTTGATTTGCAAAACTTAAATTTTCTCTTTTACAGGACGTGTTGTGGACAAAGTACATATGCTGCTTATAGTGGAATCAGAAAAAACACTGTACTCAGAAAATTTACAACATTTAATTTTTAATTTAATGATAAAATACACATGAGTTTCTATTGAGACAGATAAAAAAAACACTTCATTGTCTGCTGGTTACATAATCTTTACTACAAAAATCCTTATATTACACTAGCTAATTTAAAGGACGTTCCTGTCTCTTATACACATCTAGATGTGTATAAGAGATTAGCTCTATACTGTAATTGATTATTCCTCACATCATCAAGTAGTCAAATTATTAAAGTAACATCTTCTAGCAAGCTCAAGTAATGACTAAATTCCTGTTAATAGACAGCTTTCCTCGATCGAAAACCAATCCGCCGAGAAAAGGGCATAATGTTTGTGTATGATGCCACCAGTTTAGGTCTAGATTTAGTTTTCTCGTACTTGCAATCTGAGATTCAGGCGCTGGATTCCAGGTGATGAATCGAGATCCAGAAACTGAATGTACAGTATTTGCAACATTTCAATGGAATTTGATTAATTTCTATGTTATATGATTATAATACTACCTTGAGAAAATCATTATAGTTAATACTGATTGCAAATTCACTCTTCACTTTTCGCAGATGTTCACACACAATTGTCCTAGACTAGGCCCTAGATATTCCCTACCATTAAATTAGCCATCAAGTTCTTGGAAAGCGAAAGCTCAATATTTCTTTCAACAAGAACGGTAAAAAGAATGAGAAATTTCCTAGGCTGATTGATTTTCAAATGAGATAACAAAAGCTCTCAACTGACCCTTTCGTTGAATTTGAATTGTTCTTTTGTTTACATTATTTGTTTTTCCCTGTCCTGCTTTATGCTCTCCTCTCTGTTTTTTCTCCTTGTCTTTTTGACTTTTTTTCTGGCTGACCCAACACAAGATATATATATTTAAAAATCTTTTTGGGTTTTGTCTTCTCCCTTTTTTATTTTTGTTTGTATATAAATAAATGTCATAAGGAAATTATATATAAAATAAAAAAATAAGGAACTGACCTTTGGCCCCTCAGATCCCTCAATACCTTGTGGACCAGCAGCACCTTCCTGACCCTGAATAAATGATAACATTTTTTATTAAAATTAAATATATTCAAACTATATTTTCACTTGTCATCAATATTTTATTAAATAATCAAACTGCGATAGTATGACCAACAAATTTAAGTGTAGCGTTCAATCACTGAGCTAGTGGAAACCAATCTCTGTATCTTTGTTGTTATTTGTAATATTAGAAGAAAATAAATGTTGGATTTTTATTTTTTATTATTATTTTATTGACTGATTGTTCTGATATACTTTTGATTTTTGATCTAGTAACTTTTAACAATATTTTCAGAAAAGAAATTATTGATAATTATATAATTATTTTATTAATATAATTTGTATGATCAAAACATTAGTATTGTATTTTTATTATTATTTTAAACTGTTTGTGTTGATTTTTCTTGTTGACTCTAAACCATTTAGACTTTTACCACTGTATAATTAAATGTTAAGTTAAATGGTCATTTTAATATATTATAATACTTACCTGCTCTCCTTTCTGTCCCATCTCTCCCTTAGTCCCGGGAAGACCTTCTGGTCCCTGTTAGGAAGAAAAAAAACCCAAAGAATAATTTTTTACACATGCTTTTAATAAATTATAATATTATAATTTAATTATTATTTTTAATATATACTGTAATTAGATGTTATAGAACATTTAAGTTATTGTTGACAGGGCAGGTTGCCTCAATACTTACCAAATCTCCCTTCTGTCCACGTTCTCCTCTCGATCCTGACTGGCCCTTCAACCCACGCGGTCCGGGATATCCCATTGGGCCTTGTGGTCCCATTTCACCCTAATTAGAATTAAAAAAGTTAAATTCATGTAAATCATTATCAGAGTAGTAATTAATTACAATCATCCTCATCATTATTATTGTCAATATCACTATCACTATCATCTTAATCATCCTCATCCTTTTTATGATCATAATTATCCTCATTCTCCTCATCATCTGTCATTCTCATCATCTTCCTCAATATCAATATCACCGTTACCATCATTACCACCATCTGATCACATTTGTCATATTATTTTCTGATTATCATCAAATGATACTTGCATAATCTGGTGTATTGATCCAGCTTATCTACTAGCTCATAATTTGTTGTACATTAAAGTTTCAGTGTAAATTTTGCCTTTTTAGCCCAAAATATTTGCCCAAAAACCCCATCGATTCTGGTGAACTACTCACAAACCAAGCTGGTAGCTGGCTTTAACCTGAATACATCTATGGATATCTGATAAAAAATTAAATTTGTTGGCAAACAAGAAAATGATAATAAAGAAGCATGATGTTGATTATTATGATGATATTATTATATCATTGAAAATCATAATGATGAGGATGGTGATGTTCATAATAAGTATAATGACAACTATGACTTTGTTGTTGATGGCGATGATGATGACATTGACAATGATTATGATGTTAATGACCGATGACAATGACGACAAGAATTTGGCTGCTTGCTACTTACTGAAACGCCCTTAGGTCCCTTTGAACCATCAATACCTGGATGTCCCTGTAATTCAACAAGAAATAAAAATTCTATTATGAATACAATTATTAATTAATTAATTAATACTATAATTACTGTTATCATTATCAACATCATTATAATTTATATGGTAATTACTATGCTTACTTTTTATCAATATTATTATAAATACATATTAGTTCTACTCACTGGTAAACCATCACTGCCTGGCAGTCCTGGATGTCCAACTTTACCCATTGGTCCTGGGTTCCCTGGTGGTCCAATTGCTCCTTGGGGTCCCATTGATCCCTAAAAATATAAAGATCATTTAAAGTCAATATAACTCAAGAGCTTTAGAAAATAAATTCTATTCTTCGAGAGGCAGGTAGTCTAGATTTAACAACAGGTATTCCAAGAAAATTGTTAGCATTTTCTTGCATAAACCTAACCAAAATTAGCTTTCATGTCTGAGGGATGCAAGCTTATACAGTACAGTACATGGAAAAGCAAAATAAACACATTCTATTTTTTATGGATTTATACTTCTGTATAGTTATCTTACTTGCATTGTATTCACGTAGACTCAGCATTGTGAAATAAAATGAAGTTCACCACTGAAGATGTTAAGCTTTGGTTGTTGGGTAGTATGTAACTAGATACCAGATGTGACATATGAAGGTACTTACTACAGGTCCTTGCTTTCCAAAAAGTCCAATTGGGCCAGGGGGACCTGGGACACCCATCAGACCCTTTGGACCCATAGGTCCAACCTCTCCTTCCGGACCCTATAACAACAAAAATAACAACATATATTTTAAAATTAATAAGGTTCAGTATTCAAATATTTTACAAAAAAAATTTCATTAATGCATCAATTGTTTATAGTACAATATAATACCAATATTATTTTCATTTTTTAGTACATAATTTGGTTGGGTATCCAGAAAAAAATGTATTAGAAAAACATCAAGCAAACTTTATGAAACAAAAAAATACTTCAACTATCCAATATACAAAAACTATTAATAATAAATTGTGATCATATGAAAAGTAAAAAAGATTGCATACAGGCAAGCCGCTTGCACCAGGAGAACCCCGCGCCCCTGGCAGACCTCGTGGACCAGACTCTCCCATTGTTCCGGTTTCTCCACTGACACCATCTTGGCCCTGAAAAATGAATCAAAAGGGGAAATTGGACAGACTGGAAATCTTCTTATTATTGTGTCCACTGTGTAGTGATGGTAGAATTGGCATTAACCAGGGCCATGACAAGGACAATTGGAAATGAAAAATGTATAATTGATATTTTTAATTATTTTGTTTAATTATATCTGTATTTACAGACAACATACACAAATCCTTGGTAGCTAATTATTTTAATTGCACATGCAATTTTATTATTACAATTACATCACAAATAGTATGTCTGCTGGGCATAATTTTACTATACCCGGTGCTTTCATCTTAAAACAATTTCTTTTTTACTGTAACCTTAACAACAGCACCAGTTTCTGGATTTTAAAATTTAAAGCTTTAATTTCACTTTTAAACAATTTTCAAGTATAATTAGTTGTTTTATAGAAAATTCTTAATAATGAAGTTTAATTAGCACCTTATGATCTAGGGTTAGACAATGCCTTGCTAGGGCTAGGCTACATAATAGGGGTTTATAATATGAAACATTTGTATATTAATATATTGTTGGTAATTTTGAAATATCAGAATGTTAAATAAAATGTTCTCTCAGAAATACTTCCTGCCAAATTGTTGGTGTCTGACGTGAGACAAAAAAATAAATAAAATTTGTATATATGTGCCCTCAGTAATAATTGCAAAATAGAGTTTACTCATTTTTTTCAATTTTAGTGAAACTACTATGAATTACAGTCCACAGTCAGTATACCTTTGTTAAAAGAAATTAATATGGACTGTATTCACATTTTAATGGTGAATTCACTTTATTTTTATAAATTTTAGGGTATAATCTGCCTATACATTATATTTTTCTGTTAACATTTTTATAATGAGTGAGATAGTACAACATATACTTTAGACGTAAACGTAGAAATTGGATGCTTATGCGCGAGACTAATGCATTATGCGTGAGAGTTGGCAGGTGTAAAATACTTCTTTTATGGGAAATACAGAAATACTGTAGTTATTTCTCTATAATAATTTTGTACAACTTACTTTATCTCCTTTATTACCATCAGGTCCCCTTGGTCCTGCCTGACCTTGTCTTCCCTGTAATAAATGATATATAAAAGTCAACAGTGGCACCATTCATTTTACCTTCAATGACCTTATCATTTTTCTATCCCTGAGCTGTAAATATTTTCTACCAGCAACTGCTACATTGCGAATAGTGACAATTAATACATCATTTTTCAATTGCTAACCAACATTAACCTTTCTTTGGGATGGGGCATGGGTGCCTCTTGTTTAAAAAATTCTTTATCTGCCCCTAATTGACTGGTATTCATGTTCTCTACAGAGACTTGAAATGCTTGTCCTGGGTCCTGGATTAGGTTCCTTACACAGTAACACAAATTTATTATAATCTCTCACTCCTCATAATAAGACATTTTTTATGTACAGCATCTAGTATGTACAATGTGATTGTCTTTTGAAACGATATATGCCACGTAGGAGAATGATGAAGTGTAAGTTGCTGTCTGGCATATCTATGACCTTGGGCCTAAACTACGAAAGAAAAAAGAAACTAGCTTCCATACCCTTCCCCCTTTGATTCCTGGAAGTCCTGGCAATCCATCATATCCTCGGTCACCCTGAAATCCAACAAAACATCATTTGGAAATTTTGGTTATAGGATATATTAAATATTGTGGAAAAGATTGAACATTAAATTAAACTGAATATTTGGGTAATTCTGTTTCATTAGCGGGTATCATTTTGGGTAAAGGTATCATATTGGGTAATTCATTTTCATTTGAATAATTTTTTTCATTTGGTTAATTCATCAGACCAAACTTAACCATGTTTCAAAATAGCTGCATAATATTTATCATTAAATAATAACCTGTAAAGTTTTTTACAAATTTCGATTACAGTATTGCTTTTTGTTCTTACCTTCAAACCAATTGGACCTGATTCTCCCCGAGGCCCATCATTTCCAGGACGGCCCTGAAAAATTAATAGTAGAGAAAACATATTAAACAGACAGTTAATTAACAACTTGTATATTTTTCAAAACCTATATATTATTTTACTATATACAATCCACATTTACCTTTAAATGTGTTATTAAATGAAAATGAAAATTAATGAATTAATTTATAGATATATATTTTAATTATTCAAAATACTATATGAGCTAAATACACTGGAATATTTATGAGAAAGTTTTAATGCTTTGGTATAATGTTTATGTACAGACATCAGCTTACAATTGAAAAGCTTCCTAACATAAACATTGTTCTCGCCAATAAACATAAACTGTGCTGGTTATTTTCACTAATGCATAGGCTAGATTTTTATCCTAATTTTACACAAATTTCTTGTAATTTCTTGTACTGTATTTTTACTTTCACAAGACTAATAAAAGTTCTGTATTCTGTATTTGGCAAACAAAGTGAAAAACTATACCTCAAAGTAAATTAACATAAAGCCTGGTTTCCATAAAATTGCTAGTGTTTTCAGTGCAATCGTCGTACTGATTAGCAGTCACCAAGACAATCAGAAAGAAAATAAGATGAATATTTTATATTATGCTAAACACTCACTCTTTTACCAGGTTTTCCAGACAGACCAGTTGGTCCTGGATGTCCTGGAGGGCCCAACTCTCCGCGGTCTCCTTCTTCCCCTCTGCTTCCTTTTATTCCTTGTGGACCCTGAGACCATCAATTAAATCATGGAGGTATAAAAATAGAAATCAACATTAACAAAAAACAGAACAATATTTAATCACCACCAAAGCACAGTGTAGCCCCATTAAATCTAGGCCTACCTTTATTTATAGCATAACTATATAAATATTTTAGTACATTTCTTGTTCATTAATTTTTCATTGGTTGTTTAAAGCCGGGCATTTACTGCGCACGACGGTCGTCAGCCGACGCGATTCTATAAAGAATGCAGCGCGCGCGCACCTGATTGTTTTTAATGACAATCCGTTCAGACTGCCACCGAACAATCAGCAGACGGCGCCGCGACGTCTATCGCTCACAGGGAGCGGAGTTAAATTTGTGGTGCGACAACTGTACTGCCGTCATACAATGGAGTGAGTACCCGGCTTGAGTGTCAATAATGTAAATGTGTAATCTAATAGCAAACTCCCACAGGTAGCAACATAACCACAGAAAGAAAGTAGCCTGCTTGTAGTATCAACATTTTAACCAGTAATTATAACCACAAAAAATAGTTTAAGAGACTTGCCATAGGTCCACTTCTTCCTGATAATCCAGAGGGTCCACGTGGGCCTCTCATTGCCATCTGAGGAAGAATAAATAGAAACACTTACGCTAATTGTAGCAATATTTTGTTGTCAGATATCCTTTCATTAATAACAATAATAAATATTGATAATAATAACAAAAATAGAACATTCTAATTTTTATGGTAATGTAGTCTTAAATGATCAAAAGTCCGCCCCTTGATTCAGAAACCCTGTTGGCAAATTTCTAGAGCCATCACTGATTAAAACTCAATGGTTTAAAAAAAAAAACAATTAAAGGATTGTTCAATATTGATACAGAAAAACACTTACTCTTTGCTCTTCCATTGCAATTCGAATAGACTGTAGATTCTGAGGTGAAATTGGGCCTTTTCCTTGCTGAGTAGCATAATCAGACATCATCATAACAAATGCTTCCTAGAAATCATAAAAAATCAAATTATTAATATTCTCTGTGAATTTGTTATCATACATATTCATCAGTTTTTTTAATTATTCATGAGCTTTTAAGCTGTTGCTGGAATTTTGAAGCTGCCATCACTCACAGGTACATAAGCACTTGGGCCTGGAGGTCCATCCAATCCCTTTTGTCCCTTGAGACCATCACGGCCTGGCTTGCCCTGCAAATAAAGTAGACAAAAAAGATTGTACAAATATGACACTACTCACAAGATACACAATTATTCTCATAAGTTAACTAGTAAAACTGTTTTATTATTACTCCAGCTAGGGGCCTAGCCTATGATTCACATTAGCACACACTTCAATTGCGCCGCAAAAACAAGTTTGATAACTCGACCAAATATAAAAACCAAAATGACACACAAATTCTGAAAAATATCAGTCAGTTTTTGGCTTTCAGTTATTTTTTTTCAATATAGCATTGCGAACAGGAATAACAATCGTCTAGGCTTAGGGCTCTGTGCCTTTTAAAAGTACCTACCGTTGATTAGGTTAGCCTTCCTTACCTTACCTTATTAATTAGGCCTAGCTGGGCCTGGCCAACATCAGTCGATGGTTTGCTGTTGCCACAGCTGTATTAGGTAAGACTGGCCTGCACTGCTTAGACTCGGTCCATTATTTTACTTACACATCGATATTTGTTTCTATTGCTTCTTAACATTAACTTTTGACCAGATGCTTTAATTGTCTTCATTGAGTTTCAACAGTTTTTCTATTTTACTTTTATATGCCCGTGCCCTTTGTTGGCGTTGATGAAGGATCCAAGATACGAAGCTACGAGCTGATTGGTGCTCAGTTGGCCATGTGGCGCGCAAACAACCGAATTCAAAAGTTGGTTTGCATTTTACGCATTCAATATTGCCCTAATTATTAAAGACTGTGAAAAACTGACCACTTCCACAAAAACCAATTTCAGCGACTCCGGATAGACGACGTTTATGTTTTATAATTGATACTTATTTTCCTAAAAATGACAGACCAAATAATTGCTGCTAACTAAGATAATTTCATTTAGTCGCAGAAAACCGACTAGTGTAAGTCTATGCGTTGCAGTTTTCTTCAACATTAGGCTATTAGGACACTTGACTTTATTCGTAAACTAATCTATAATTGCTGAAAGAGACTAGATAATAGATTCATAAAAAAAATGTGGTTACTTATGATTGAAACCATACTTACCCTGTCACCCTTTGGTCCTGGTCGTCCATATGGTCCGGGTGGTCCAGGTGGTCCAGGATCGCCCTATAATAAACAATAAAAGATAAATTCATTATAGCCTATACTTAACTGGTATATTTTACATCCAGGGACCTAGCTCTATTATACAGACATCCCTATACTTCATGTAGAAGTATTTTCGAATATTATGTAGCGTCAACGCCAAACAAAGGTAAACAAACGCTTTACTACAAAAATCCTTAGTTTTATCACCATAATTGTTGTATAAGAAAGTATTGGGACATACGTCTTTCAATTAGCCAGGAAAACATACTAACTTGTATTTATTAGTTTAACATTACTGGCAGAAATGAAAGCAAATTTTAATTTACTTTTACTACGATTGATAAAGTTAATTATTGCTGCAATCCTACTGAATATGCAATTAATTTTTTGCAGACGATTATGGCGTACTGTGATGTATGAACTTATAAATTCAAACGTATAGGCTATTCAGAAACTAAATCATTACTGGTGTATTCATTGGTATAGTTATGGGAGGTGATAAAAACGTTTATAACAGAATCTAGAAAGACTTACCACAGGTCCAATTCGTCCAACGACTCCAGGTAAATATTCCTTAAAGAGTGAAAAAAAACACATCAAAACATATCACGCACAGGCCCGTAGCATGACTTAATTTGTGGCTTGTATGATCTCCGATACTCTGGAGAACATTGTAAATATATCTACGAATAGCCTATCAATTTTTTGTTTTTAAATGCGGACCTTCTCCATTTTTTGGGCGGTTCGTCGTAACCCCCTTAACACTCCACGCTACGGGCCTGTATCACTATATACAAGATACGTACGTATGGTCACCTTTCGTGTTTTTTTGTTTGTTTGTATTACAGTATTACTACCCAGCCTGCTACGGTTTAATAGTGCTAATTTTAAAGTATATCTGCCATGACGCCAACATGTTCACTAAATTAGTGTTCACTAAATGAGTAGTTGAGATGTTGAATTATTTGAGTTTAATAATCAATAAATTTTGATTTTTCATAGACCCAAATTAAATGTTTGCTGTAACTTTATTTCTAAATAGCCTTTCTGCAGGGGGAATCTAGAAATGTTCTGACAGGGAGGGGGAACAATAGGGAGTCGAGACCCACCTCAGCCCCATCATGGTTGGGGCTGAGGTGAGCAAATTTCAAGAAGGCACGCTCGGAAATGGCACTCTCAGATGGTTAAAAAATCTTTTTCAAAGCAGTGTTCCTTGACAAACTATTTACTTCTTCCCGACAGGAGCTATGCCCCATCCCTTCTCTACACACCTCTCTCCTCACGGATGTCTAATCGAGGACCTATATTCATTGCTGTGAGTCGCAAAGCTCTAAACTTGGAACCCACAGTCCAAGAGGACGATTTGTGAGAGGAGTACCCTAGTGCACGGATCAACGTTCACGTGCATTATATTATTAAGGATTTAGGCCTAATGTATACCCTGTCTCTTATACACATCTAGATGTGTATAAGAGACAGGCTTTAATTGTCTTCATTGAGTTTCAACAGTTTTTCTATTTTACTTTTATATGCCCGTGCCCTTTGTTGGCGTTGATGAAGGATCCAAGATACGAAGCTACGAGCTGATTGGTGCTCAGTTGGCCATGTGGCGCGCAAACAACCGAATTCAAAAGTTGGTTTGCATTTTACGCATTCAATATTGCCCTAATTATTAAAGACTGTGAAAAACTGACCACTTCCACAAAAACCAATTTCAGCGACTCCGGATAGACGACGTTTATGTTTTATAATTGATACTTATTTTCCTAAAAATGACAGACCAAATAATTGCTGCTAACTAAGATAATTTCATTTAGTCGCAGAAAACCGACTAGTGTAAGTCTATGCGTTGCAGTTTTCTTCAACATTAGGCTATTAGGACACTTGACTTTATTCGTAAACTAATCTATAGGCGTATAAGCCCAGTGAAATAGTTCAGTTTTCTTTGCTATAAAAATCACCTTTCCCGTGGGTATATTTTGGTAAACTTTTTGTATGTTTTAGATATAAAATTTAACTATATATATTCATAAAAAAACGTTTTGTTGCAATTATGTCCAACTTTGGTGCTTCAAATCCGTATTTCTGGTGGACTAATACTTTTGAAAGGACCTTTCTAAAAGCACTTGAAATATGCACGAACACAAACGTTTTTGTTTGATATTTTAAACTTTGTTTAACTTTAGGCCTGTACTTGTGGACAATAGCCTACTTTGCATAAGCAAGATCAGGCTTGTAGGGCAGTGGCGGCTCTAGGATATAATTTATGGGTGGGGGGGGGGGCTAAGACTGTCTCTTATACACATCTGATGTGTATAAGAGACAGAGGTTGCTCTTACAGCAAGACTCAAAGAGTCGGTCATATAGGTACAACTAAACTATAGGTATGGGAGGGGGTGTCCCCTCCTCCCAAAACGAGATTAAAAAAAAAAAAAAATTGGGACTTCTAGATGTTTTGCTTGACTGATCAGACCCAGACGAACCGATTGCTGAGACAGATTTGGCTTGACATAGGCAGTACAGTACTGGGATGGGAAAACTAGCCGTATTTTTTTTTTTTTGATCCGACTGCCCGAGATTTTCCCGATGGGGGGTGGGGGCTTGACCAGACCGACGGGGGCTTAAGCCCCTTTCTCCCCGCTGGCGCTGCCCCTGCAGGGGACCTGCCATAAAGCGAGCACCTTAGGCTAAGTGAGCTGTTTTTCTTTCGCTCCTTTTTGCATTTAGAGAGTAAAACAAATCCAATAAAATGGAGATAAACCTCTGAGATGGCATAATATTAGGACTTCAAGAATGCAGGCAAAATTAACGGTGAATCTTCAAAGTTAACGATAATCTATTTTGAGTGATCTATTTTGAGGCCTCTCCTGGTCTCTTTAAACATGCTCAGCTCTCTATGTGCGGTACATGTTTTTATCGAGCGCCTTGTACGCTTAGTGTGTAGTCTATGTGTATGAAATGAGTGCGTATTTGCAAGAGAATAACCAATTTTACAATTATGATTTGGTCAATGTTAACATTATAAATAAGCTTAATATATTTTTCTAAAAAAAAGAATTGCTAACTTAAGCCTAATTGTATGCATAGAGGAATTAAATATGCATGACTACGTACGATTCTGTAATCTCCTGGGTCTCCCTTAGCTCCTTTAGGTCCCTGTAAAGTGAAAAAATGAAATAGAAAAAATGAGACCATGGAAAGTTCTTTATCTATTTAAATATTACTCATTTAAATTCAAATTCATCGTAATTCTAATCTATAAACAAATAACGTTGACATGAGTAATTCGTTTTTGTTTGATAAATATGAAAATGTTACATAATAACACAGTTACAAAAATCTATTTCCCCACTGAATTTTTAGTATCAATTATAATTATCAAATATCGTTAGTAATAATTGTTCACTTTCGATTATTCCGATCTGATGAAATATTATTATCCAGACAAAAAGATCTTTACTGAGATGCACAGGCGGATTTTTTTTCCTACAGAAAAATTACATAAATCGATAACATTTAATATCACTTACTGGTATACCGACTCCAGATGAGGAAGTACCGGTACCTCCCGCTCCAAATCCTGGTCCTGATCCTGGTCCTGATCCTGGTCCTGGAGCGGGTGGCTGGCCAACACCAGATCCGGTATCTCCACCGCCATCTGTACCAAAAGGTGCAAACTCTCGTCCTGTAGCTTCATCAATATTATTATTAGACTGGGAAAAAAAAATTCAAGACAACAATATAATGGAGTAGTTATAAGCGTTACGGGGATTGATTGTTTTCAACTTGTTAAAGTCTATCCTATGAGTACTCTGAACAATTGGACGGATTATTGTATTATAGGTCTCCTGTCATTCTTTTCATCCATTCATTATTGGGAAAGCATTATGTCATCAAAGATATTCAATAGAGAATAGTACTGTGCAAATTGTATACACACATATGGTTTCACATAGTAGGCCTAATGAAATGTATACACACAGTGATAACAACATTGCATATAAATGTTTAATGATTGTTTTAACGCTTTATTAATACAGTATATAAAAAGCCTAGTAAATTGTAATTGCTAAATAAATTCAAACAAATGAATGAATCCGTACTAAATATTCCATATAATCAATGATTAGATGGGTGAGTAACGTTACCTCTGTGGTGTCTGGGGTAGGCACGGCGGGCATATCAGTGAATTTGGGCATAGGTTCAGAACATGGTGGAGAATACCGGCTACATAGTTTAAACGCCGCATCTGGGTTTGGAATCAGAAGCAGTTGTTGTACGGTCCCCTGAAAAAAAAAACAACAAAAAAAACAGAAGGTGATGGCGGGTTATTGGCAATTTAAAAAATATGAGGCAGTTTCTTAAAATAATTGGATGACTAGCTTGATCGTGATGTTGGTAGGCAGCTCGTCTTTATGTTTAAGAGAAGATCTAGTTAGCGATTAAGTTCGCTTTTGGATTTTACCAGTTTATATTGCCTGAAAATTACATTTAAGTGTATGGAATTCACAAAATTGCTTTGCATTCCCGAACCTTCTAAGTTAGGGCAAGATTTTTCAATTGATCTTTACTTACTGCATGCATAACTATTGTTAATTGATTGATTAGTATGAATAATGTTCAGAAATGCATATTTTGTGTATAGCCATAGACCAATAAGCCTAATAAAAATAAAAAGTTTAAAATTTGTCTTACAATTGTTACGATTCAGAAAAGAAGATATAACATATACGACGAGTGACAATAATATCGGGATAGGCCTATATTAAATCTGCTCATTGTGTATGCATAAGGCTTAACTAAGTTTCAATAATGCTCGATGAATCACAACCACCGGAAAATGAGCACTTAGCCCCTCTCTGTTCTAATCGTACACGTGTCAATCATCCAGCCACTGTTCAACTGTATTGAGCAATTTTATAAAGAATCCGATTGAAAATATTATAAGAAAACTTTCATAATCTGATGTATTGCACCTGCATTTTAACTTTTTAACATAAATGTCGGATGAATGAACGTTTCTGCCAGTAAATCGTCAGGTAGATAGGCCTACATCTATGTTGGAATTCCCGATTAAAATAGGTTTATCTAGATTTTATGTCTGAAAATTGTCCGTTTCATTTTATCATATCAATCATTAGGCAAAGGTCTGTCCGGATACAGTATTGATTTATTAATCAAATCATTATCGGTCACCTGTCTAGATGCTCTCTCGGAAAAAAAAAAAAAAACCATGAACGATTATTAAATTCGTAAAATAAACAGATTATATATTCACTGTTATTATATTTAATTATATTCTCAAGAAATTCATCTGGAGGCTTATGGAAGTGGAGCAATTCATTAATTCTACGTATTTCTGGTTGACTTAAAAAGAATTTACATTATTATTGTGATTACTCGTGGCGCTCATGAGCTCATTGACTTGCGCATGCGCTGCTCGTATCTCGCAGTAATCTCGTAACCATGTACAGTATTATGAATTGTGACTTAGATCGTGTGTTATTTATAATATTATATTTCTTAACAGAAGGATCCTGTAGATCGATGAATTTTCAGCGCTGTTGTTCTTCAGATGTAGCCAAGTTCGCAGTGAAGACAACAATCTGATACTTTGTAGCGTAATACCAATCTGATAGTAGCGTGATAATACCGATATAAAAGCACTTGGAAGCAACGCGTGCCTAACTTTGTTACCCACGTCGAACTCTCCTGATAACTGTTACATGACACCATGGTGACACTTTTTTAGTCGCCTAGTGCCAAAAAATAGTTTGAAGTTTTTCGAGAAAGGATCAAAGTTCAATAGAGTAGTATATTTCCACGTGACGTTACACAGCACGTAGCTACAAAGCTGCATACTGGTCGAAACGGAATGGGCCGGTGGGAAAATATCGGCATTCATCAGTCAACAGTGGTTAAATATTACAATTTGTAAAATCGTGATCTAGTAATCAATTATTCCTCTCGTACCCGTTGATTTTAAAATAGCTTTCTGACCTTTCTCTGTTGGGTATTAATCGATCTTTGTAACACAGATTATTTTTTCGCGATTATAACTATTAATTACATGTCAAGAAATTTCAGCTTAATGCTAGATGTCGTACGAATGATATAGTTGTAAGTACTGTAGTTTAAATAATGATAACGACAAAATGTCTTTTCAATTTGAAGTAATTTAAACACCGATAACGAATAAACAAATGATTAGGCCTATATTACAAAACCTCTATACAAAATATATTGAAGAAAGCGATGTACGTTTGAAGGTTTTTTTTTCCAAGCTCAGTGTTCTTATTTTTTGGTCAATTTCAGTCTCAAACTGTTCTTAGTTGTTCTTATTTTTACACACTTTTTAAACACAGAAAATTATTCAGCAATATATTATACTGTACTGTCTTATAGTGGGTATTACATTGTCACACCAACTGCAAAAATAAGGTAGGCCTACAGATAAGATTTGTTGGTTTTTCTTTTTTCTTTAAATAAAAATTTCATTTGACATTTGACATCAGCCTCAATTTGTTTTTTGTTTTTGTTTGTTTTAAGCAATTTTAGCCTCAGTGTTCTTATAAAATGAGTTCTTCTATAACAAAAAATGTGTACGTTTAGAGTCCATCATTGGCTCATTGAATTTTGAAAACATTAGTAATCATTTTCTTTTTGTTTGAGTTTTACAAGAAATTATATTCTAGCTTTTAATAAATATATGGACACAGTCATATTTATTTATGTTAAATATTTTAAATGCTTAGGTTTATCTAAACATGTGGCCTATTATGTTCGATAGGATAAACAAATTAGATAACATTTTAAATGCTTATATTACAATATTAAACCAATGAATTTCAAGTGAACTGAAAATGTTCTCATCGAGCCCATCGCAGAATGGACTGACTGCGAGTGGGCGCTTTCTCTCCGCTTACCGTTGTAATTTTCGAGCATAATGTAGACAGATGCCAGAGAGAAATGATATGATTGAATTAAGTATTATAAATGCCGTAGGTTATGTACACGACCTGACAGGTGTTTTGGTTGTACGATGTGGTGCAATTTTAGATGGTTTGATTTTACGCTTACTAGGTTTTCCCCATCGTCTGTTAATAATTGTAGTCATTTGGTTTAGCTACACTGAAGCATCGTATTCCCATTTAAACTATGGATATAACTAACTCCACGATTTAACCTCGATCCAGTTAAGAAGGGGGAGGGGGAAAGAATGTGCGAGCAGAGTGACTCTTGGCCCAGAGCCCCATGGTAATGTGAGCTCTAGCACCTTCAATAATAGTATTTGATCAAATTGTATTAACTAGTATAGTATTTTTTTGAAAAGCTTTACAAAAATTTCCCCTCACCTCCACTGGACAACTACTACCACCACTACATTTTTAGTAATATCTTAAAGTAAATTGTTTACAACGTCTACGCGTAAATTGGGTACTGTATTAGTTTAGTCAAATTCACACTAACTTATTACCCGGTAATTAATTAACAAATAGGCCTACATAATTAAAATGTCATCACCATCCTCACACGCGCTTGGTGCGCGCGAGTGCGTGTTGGTGTTTCCGTTTATGTGTAGATGCGGGTGCGTACGTCTGTGTAAGTAATAACATACTTCATACAGTACTTACACTGAACACTTCCTTGATGCCTAATTTTCTTCCGAATACTGTAATTCCTTCTGTATCTATCAATGCAGGTTCTTCTCGTGCTAATGTCTTGGTTTCTCGTTCTTCACAATCTAGTATAGCTGTTACCAATTGTCCTCTAACGCTAAATGCAACTCGATGCCATCTGAAATATTACGCAACAATAACTTTGTTATTACAACTATCTGAAAAAAATGTTAATATACCATATATTTTGAGAAAATCTCACAACTTAAGCTTAGTCCAGATTATCAAATTTTCTTTCAAAACACATGTTGTATGGCCATATATCAATCAATCAATCAAACATTTATTCACTTCCTCTTAACAGGATACAATTACAACATATTTTTTTTTATATTAGTCATGATGTGCCTATATATGGTCATGATGTGATGTCATCATTACCATATTTAGGCATGTCGTAAGTTCCAGTTACGGATATAGGCCCTATTGCATCATCTTGAAAGAACTATTACTTGTTAGGCCTACTATAACCTAAAATGTCTTGTTGGGTCTATTTGAATAATTATAAGAATTAACAACATTATGGTCATAATATTTAAAAAAAATAATAACAATAGCAACGACATAATAATGCCAGTAGTACCGGTGGTAATAATAATAATAATAATAATAATAATGATAATATTGTAATGATAATACTTATGATGATGAAATCAATACTAAATGATAAAATCAATACTAAATGAAAATAATAATGATGATGAAGATAATAATAATAATATTTTTTTATTATTATCATCATAATAATCATCATAATAGGCAGGTAATATTGAATAGTAATAATAATATGTCTGAAAATAATAATATTGATAGAAGGTTCGTATGGCGAAGTAACGCTAATAAATGTATTCGGTGAACACTGTTATGATAGTTCTGAGGAGAACTGTTGTGTTGCTGAGAATCGAGAGAATGTTATTGTAGGCTAATTGTTCCAACCATGTTCTAACTGAAATAAATTTTGATATGTTGTAGAACTGATTTTTCTAAGACACAAAAAAGTTGTTTGACGAAAAACTGGGGAACGGTGAATGAGATACAGATTTTTTAATATTTAAAAACTGGGGGGAAAAGGAGCGTAACTACCCATTTTTACACCTTATTCCCCCAGTTTTTAAATATTAAAAAATCTGTATCTCATTCACCGTTCCCCAGTTTTTCGTCAAACAACTTTTTTCTGTCTTAGAAAAACCAGTTCTACAACATATCAAAAAATTTTTTTCCGCCGGAGCAGTTGTTCTGAAAATCATACTACGTTGTCTGTAACACATTCACTGTGAAGGAATTCCCCAGATAATGGGACTATTGAAGTACCAATTTGAAGTGCTCCTGGATAAATGATACTCTAATTCGAAAATTTCAAAGGTCATATTAGATATTATTTATAAAATGTGGCTGATAGCGATGGAATCACATCCAACCTCGGGCAAATATAAAAGTAAGCATAGATGTATTTACTTTTCTCTGTCTTCCTAGACTCGCACAACAACATACCGATGCAAATTTGATCCATCAATGAAATCAACGAACAATTCAGAAAAAAAGGTTTCGACAACGTATCACATATGGTGAGTCTCCAGCAGCGACCCAGAATATGTCGAAAGTTTAACTTGGGGCATGTTGTGAAACCAATCAGTGGTTATTCACAAATCTTGTTATGTTTAGAAAAAAAAAAGAAATTCCACATCAATACGTCTGAACAAATTAAAAAATGAATTATCAAAAAGAGGTGTGGAGTTTTTGAAGATATGCAGACTTTTTTTTATTAGGTAGCAAATGACAAAATTCTTTCAAAACAATTTCTCAGATATATTTATTAAATTTTAAATAATTCAGACGAATTTGTCAACCCACGAGTGTCTTTTGAAGTATCGTAGTTGCAGCTACCATATGTGCACTCAAATATTATATTCTGGCACAGAATGAAAACAATTGCCTAGTAACCATGCTAGTCTTCCTGTGGGTCGAACAAATCCACCAATAGGAAACCCTGATAATCACTTTATAAACCATGTGATTTGATTACAACTCTGGTAAACGAAAGTAGGTTAAAATACATTGATCAATTTAACCGCAATATACACACGCAATAATAACAACAATAGTAGTAATACGGTAATAAATAATAACTGTATTATTAATAATTGTTATTATAGGCCCAATAATGATGATGACAGTGATGAAAATAATACGATATTATAAAATGACGAAGCATAATTACTGTATGTCTATTATTATTTATATTATTCCTCATAATTTTCATGAAGATAATGACGAGAATCGGGCTTATGGGTGTAGGCCTAATGTTAAATAAAATTTCAAATTATACTGCTAAGCCATAGGTGTAATTACATGGTCTAACTTGAGACGACGACGGAGTTTTGAATGAAGAAATGCCTTGGACTATTTTGGCTGATATGAATGATGCGATAAAGTGTTGTGATTTGGTTTCTTCTATTCATGTTTGACTTCAATAACGTATGAGTAACTGAGTCAAGACAGACACCCAATTGTGTATCAATAAAACGAAGATGACTGCCGGTGTTGTGCATCTGGTTGAAATAATTATACAAAAGTTCAAATAGGTGTCAAGTAAGAGGCATGTCCTTATTTTTATTTAAATAATACTTCTATCAGATTTGAAATGAAAATAGAATGGTATTTCTAGCCCGCTGGGTAGAACTTCGATGAGTATTCATGACAGTTATTTTCATATCGTCTTTAACCTCTCAAAATGTGGCGGTGCAGTGTGCTGTGTCGACCGACGTGTTTACTGTATAGTCATAAGTATCATATAGCTCACACAAAATGTACAACAGACAGAAGATATGAAGTAGACAGGTATCAAATTTCATGTGATAATCATATTAGCACAACCCATAATATTGATCACACCCATTGTGATATTGCATAAAAAGATTATAACAATCACTTTTTTTCAAACGGGGGGGGGGGGCGGGGGGGGGGGGGGGAGGGGCACAACAGGTTCAGAATAGATAGTAGCACATAGCATTAATACCTATGCATTGAATTTTTTTTAAATTTAATGGCAAAACGGGGAGGGGGCACGTCGTACCCCCATGCCCCTACTGGATCCGCCACTGTTATACCCCTTTTGGCGACAACACAACAGGCAATGACTAAGACCCGCCGCTTGGATATTGTTGTTAAGGTGTGGGAACTTGATAATTACAAAGGTGTGGGAACTTGATACAGTAATTACAAAAGCGTAATCCTGACCTTAAAATAATACATTGTACTTGGTCACTTATGTTAAGTTTCAACAGAAAGGTTCATTGGCAAATACCTAACATTTCGTATTATAGGCTAACATTGCTAACTGCTCTGTACTGTTGATGATACGAAATTATGAAAAGCGAATTTGCATCAATAAACTTCAACATAGTTTACACTTTTTTTTAAAGAACACATTTTATAAGAACACTGAGGCTGAGGTATAATTTCAAATGAGATTTATATTTTTAAAAACCAAAATATTATATCTGTACATTATGTGCAGTAGGTGTGACAGTAATACCCTCTATAATACAGTACAGTAGGTGTACCTATCTGACATTTGGGGGCCATTTTTTGTGGGGTCACTTTCACCTACATTCCAGTTCAGTGCATACTGCCGTACAATTAAATAATTCTTTGTTTAAAAGGTGTGTAAACTAAGAACAAAATAAGAACATTTTGAGCCTGAAGTCGGCCAAAAAATAAGAACACTGAGCCTGGGCAAAATTTTACTGGTTCCTATAAAAAAAAAAAAAAAAAAAAAAGAGTGTATATCATTTTAATAGGAAGCCAATTTCCATATTTCATTTTTCTAATGACGAAATATAAATTGATTTTTTTTTCTTTTTGTATTTGAAAAACAGTTATGTTAGAAAAGAAAATTAACCTGTATATAGGCATCATGTTGAATGCAACTTGTTAAAGAAACTTGTTAAAGAACCGGACAGAGAATAAAAACATTTGTGTGTGTTCTGGTGGTAGAATGAGTTTTTAGTTAAGGACTAGGCCCCTGGGTTTTCAATAATAGACTGCGTGGATTACTATATACCTTCACTTTTTAAGGACCTTGGATCGAAAAACATCTTGAAGCAAGAAGTATGGTTTCAAAATGAAAAGCTCAGTGCGGGCCAGGCCTTATGCAATTCAAAACACATGTCATATTGTACATGCGAGATATGCTTTTCGTCTGAGTTTGAGTGTTTAACCTGTTATGTACACATATGTATCAACAGGAGCTACGTTTCTCTAGCTACAATCGCGACAGGACTCTTAACCATGTTCTCCATGTTTGGCGCCTCGCGGTTGGTTATACCATGATTATACGGCCGACAGTTTATGAATGAGACCCGAAATCTTGGCACATTTTCTTGGCAACTGTTTTCGATTTGTTTTGATGCATTAGCATACCCAAGAGGTGCGGTGTTATATTATATGAACTTTGTGAACTACTACATGAATACGTAATTCTGATGATTTTAAACAAATTTTCCTAGCATTCCATTAATCCAATTCGTATATAAGAATAATAATTCTGAATTAATGTATGGAATGTTCTTTAAATAGATGAAATGAATGCTATGAGAATGCCCGTGAGCCCATCATCACCAAGGTCACGTTCTATTAATAAAATTATGGTATTGGAGTGATATTACCGCTGGGCGTTGGGCGGATAGTCACTGAGAACTCAGATGGAAACGCCACCAAAACTTATCGCATGCCCGCTATACAGGTTTTAAAAAATATGTTTTTATATAACTCACAATTACATAATTATTGGTCTATAATAAGCATTTCTCTCAGAAGGTTGCCCTAGTTCTGTTGCCAACGTGTAAAATAGGTCTACAGGAGCAGATGTTAATAAGTTCGATTTCAGGCTCATGTCCTAGAAACAAACGAGTCTTGTTAAATTATTAAAATGGCTCAAAAGCAACGAATGTTCGCCTAAAGCCTATATGTTGATTTGAATATGTAGTCTAAAATATATTGGCAATACTAAGCCTTCAAGAGAAATCCTTCGAAGCTTACTAAAATTGAGGTTAATTTTGTAAGTTGGGTGAACCATAAACTAAACTATCCTCAGCCACCCGCCCCGAGTATGTTGTC